TGGTTGAGTCGGTACACCCCTCTACATTAGTGACATGTGGCTTTTTCCAAAAGGATCCTCCATGAGACAACTGACATGGAAGGGTCAAAGCAAACTTCCAGCTCTCCAGAGCCTTATGCATGGAACTGTCTCCTAACACAGAACCATCTCAAAAACTCTGAAAGCAATGACTTCGCCCATCTATCCAATTGTCTCCTTTCACAGATGCAAGACCTGAGACCCAGGAAGAAGTACCCCAATTAGAGTTACTCACATTGCTGGGCCAAGGGGCTTGCATTCATCCTCTCCAACACACCATGCCACAACAACAGGCATCACACACATTCCCAGATGGCCGACTGATGTCCAGTCCCTCCTGTCACTGCTTCCACAAGCATCAGAGCTCCTCACTCCTCTCTGGGTTCTTAGGGGTTAATATAGCAGGTAGAGCCTAGTGATAAAAATAGCAACGATGACCTAAAGAAAGTTCAAAGTAGGAAGCTGAGGTAAAAGGCAAGATCCTGGGAGCCAAACACATTGCATGTGTTCTGGCAATTTCTGAAGAGTCTACAAAACTGACTTCCAATGCTTGACCTCCGCTGCCTATAGACCATGTCTGATCTGATTCTTCCAACAGCAGGAACAACCCCTTCCTCGCTTCTTCAGTCCAAGTGCAAGCATATCCCATCTTTTGAAGCATTTGCCTTTCCACTCCAAGGTTGAAGGAATTGCAAGATAAATAGTATAAAAAGTTGAAAGTTGCTAGGAGGAAGTTAGCACTGCTATGTGGTTCTTTGCAGGGCAGTAAACCCCAGGTCTTCCCTGTCTCTGGAGGGATCGACAGGATTGCCTTCCCAATCCTGTCTGCACTCAGCTTCTCCCCAGGCAGCACAGGGTATCTGCCTCCCAACGGAAGAAAATCAAGAAAATCGGCTGCCTAAACCTCCCTCTGCTTCTAGACATATTAAACACAGTCGGTCAAGGTGATACGAGCTTAACATCTGACCTGCTTTTATTTTTCTTTTCTTTTTGCAGAAGTGGTGGTAAGTGTACTATTTTTTTATTTTTATTTTTTTTGAGTTTGCTTATTTTTAAAGCTACAAAATGAAGCTTGGGTCACATTTTTAAAAAATCAACTGCCAAATCATTCTCGGAGTTCCCTTCTAAGGATTGGCCTGACATTTCACCTCTGTGCTCTAAAGAATGCATGCCCTGCTTTTAAAACCTGGATCTTCTTAGCTGTACAGGTTTATGTGGAAGCATCGTTTGGCCTTAGCCTGAGACTCAGACCCACATTCACAAGTGGCTTCAGAGTAATAACACCTTCCCCAGAGTTCAAGGCCCTTGTCTGTCCTTGGTAGTTTATTAGAAAAGGATGCCTCTTTGAGCCCCAGCTCGGAAGGCTGAACTGTTGAATACAGTGCTAAGGTAGCTTTCCAACTTTGAGCTCCCCAAGTCATTCATTCATTCCCTCATTCATCTACAACCTCTCATTCATTCAACCAGCAAAACCAGATAAGCAGAGGAACATGATCCCTGATCTCATGGAGCTCATAGCCTAGTCAGGGAGATGGACAATAACAACAGGGCTAAAGTTGGTAGAGCTTCGTTGTCGTGGCAGAGAAAGGCGCAAGATGAATCCTAGAGGCAGGCACAGCTTGGTCCCTCAGGGTCAGGAGGCCCCAGAGGCCATCACAAGGATTTTGGAATTCAGCCTGGGGACAGTGGGGAGCCATGGGTCCCACCTTTTCCAGAAGGGACACACCCCTCTGGTTTGCACTAAAATTTTTTGCATCCATCCACACTAAGAGTCCTTCCCCCAAACCAGAGCTGGTCTTTCATGTTACGCCACTCACAATAGCTCCTTGACACCACACGTCCCTTGTGAAGAAGACAGAGTGGGTGTTCAGAGTCTGAGAGTCAGCAATGAGAATGCTAGAAAGAGCCTGGGTTCCCAGCCTGGACCAGAATCTTAGCATGGCTGGAAAACAAATGTAAAGGTGATCAATTCAGAAGTCAGCCATGGAAACATGGGAAATGGCACAATATCTGTGTTTAGAAGCTGAGATGGGCAATGGACCATTCCATTGAGGAGCTAGCACACGCTCACTCAGGCCAAGCCATGGCTTAGCCAACCACCCTCGCAAGCCCCGACACAGGCAGCAGCCCCTGCCCCATGGGAAGGTAGCTTTACCAACAGCCACCCTTTCCAGCTTAACAATAACAGCACAGAAGGTGAACTAAGCCACAGAGTAATTAGCAAAATGATCTGGAAATATGTAAGCAATTCAAGTGCCACTAGAGTGTCCCTTAAATGAACACAGGAATAGCCCTTAACGTGTGGGTGGAGAAAACTGGAACATCTGACCCTATTGGCAATTTTGCAAATGACTTTCAGAAATCTCTAGACCATAACAAACATTTGGTTTGACAACTTCTTCCAGAATCCAGCTCAGAAAATTCATTGTCACCTCCTTCTCCCTTGTCATCAATGACCTTTTCCAGTTAGTCTTAAAAATGCAAGATATGCATAGACTGGTTTTAAACTCAGGCTTGCAGCAGGACTGTGGGATTCTGAGCAGCAGAAGCCTTGCACCAAGAAGGTAAATAGTCTTGTTTTAAGACATTGTCTGAATCACATTCTCTGAAGGTCTAAGAAGGCTTGACCTTGTCCAGTAAGTGGTCTCATTGGCTGGACTCAAAAAGAAAAAACATGAAAAAGGGGGAAGGAGAAAAACAGAAAATAAGCCAAGTAAAATATTAGACCAATTCCTAAACTCTTGATGTTTGGGGTTGACATCTTCCCTCCCATTCTTAAAGGAGAATGAATATTATATAAAACTTTCCCAAGATCTAGAACAATGCCTAGAAAAATGGAAGAAAATTCTAGGATGGGCCACTAGCCACTGAAGGGCAACACATTCATTATCTCACACTGCAGAAATACTCTTTCTCCTTCATTCTCCGTCCTAGTTCATGGTGTTACCACCCACCCAGATGACCAAGGCAAAAATAAAAACACAAAAACAGGAACCGCCCTCTCACCCCCGGAGGCTTTTTCTTTCTCTCACTTGCCATAGCTAGCTGAACTTTCAATTTCACTTCTGCAAATTGTTCTGTCATCTCTCCCCATCATTGCCATCGAATTGGGGCCACACTTATTCTCTCCAAAATATGATTATAGTTCCCCCAAATATTGGCAGGCCTGGATCCATCATTTCATCCAATTCTGTGCTCCGATTCCACCTCCTCAGAGAGCTCTTCTCTGGCCAATTGATTTAAAATGTGACTCCCTGTGACTCTTTATCCTTACGTACCTCGTTTTCTTTTAGCAAACTTTATTTATATATAACTAAATATATATCATATCTATATATAAATATATATCATATATTTGGTTATATATCACATATTTTGTTCACATACATCATACATTTAGTTCATATATATAAAATATGTATCATTGGCTTTATATTTCTTTGTATATAAATATATGTCATATCTATATATAACTATATCATATATTTATCATATATTTAGTTACATCATATATTTGGATATATATCACATATTTTGTTCATGTATATTACACATTTAGTTCCTATATATATTTATCATTGGCTTTCTCTTCTATAAATATTTGCTATTGCAGGGTGTGGTGGCTCACACCTGTAATCCCAACATTTTGGGGGGCCAAGGTGGGTGGATTGCTTGAGCTAAAGAGTTCAAGACCAGCCTGGGCAACATAGTAAGACCCAAACTCTACAAAAAATACAAAAAGTTGGCTGGATGCTGTGGCGCACACCTGTAGTCCCAGCTACTTGGGAGACTGAGGTGGGAGGATGGCTTGGGCATCACTATATTCCAGCCTGGGTGACAGAGCAAGATCCTGTCTACAAAAAAAAAAAAAAAAAAAATTCCTACCAGTAAGTGAACAAATGAGTCTTCCCACTCTACTCTCATATACCCTCTGGTCCATCCTCTGAATTGGTGAGACTCATTTTCTGAAACACACACTTGGCTGCATTATTTGACACTGCAAGTATTCCCATGCCTTACAGTTACCCACAGAATGAGTGCCATGTGCTAAAGTGGCAAACCCAGGGGGCCACAGCCTGCCTCCCTGACACTGCTATGGTCTCATCCAAGTCCACATTCACCTCCTCAGCCTCACCCCCCAACATGCCAGCCACATACAATGACTACCAGCTCCCCACAAGTACCATGCTCTTTCCACCCTCAATACCTTTGTGGAGGTATTTCTAGCCTACAGTGACCCTCCTCCCTCTGACTGCCAGGCAAACTCTGAAAAGCTGCCCCTCATCCACCCACCACCCCTGCCTCATCCCTTCCCCTACCTTGCATAGCACCTCTATTGCCAGTTAGAGAATCTGCAGGGTGTAGCATGTGCACTTGTGTCTTTGCTTGTGTCCTTTCTGGGTCTAGGGGTAGGGACTACAGCAGTTTAGGGAACACTCAAAGTTTGCAGCCTTGGAAAATTCTTTCATGTTAGCTTTTAAATCATAAAATACAATGAAACTTGTGACAGAGATTAAAGCAGTCTCCTTAAATATCCCCTCAATTGTCTGTTTTTTGTGCCCCTCCCTTGAGTTCTCATATATGAGAAGAATATATATATGATCTCATATATATATTCTGTGTGTGTGTGTATATATATATATACACAGAAAGAGAGAGAGAGAGAGAAGAAGAAGGAGGAGGAGGAGGAGAAGGAGGAGGAGGAGAAGGAGAAGAAGGAGGAGGAGGAGAAGAAGGAGAAGAAGAAGAAAATAGAGCAGTGAGATACAAATTTTTTATCCAAGCGAGGAAAAAACAATGACAAGAAATGGCCTTCACTGTTTCATTACGTTATTACATAACTTCAGCCTGAACTTGAATGACAGAGACGTTGGCAAAGTAGCTGCCTCCACCAAGAGGAGCTGCTGGGCACATCCGATGAATAAAAATGGCAAGAAGCCTAAAATGGACTGGAAATCACTTTGAGCTTTGACTTTTATTTCTCTGGAGTGACAGGAAGGGTAGTTGGAAGATTAAAACTCTCAGACCCAGCTCAGTCTGTCACCCCTGCAACCAAACCAATACACACAAACAAGCCCAACCTCAGTGTGCCTTCTTCTCTCTCTTCTTCCCTCTCCCCTCTCCTCCCCTCCTCTCTCCTCACTTCTCCTCTCCTCCCTTCTCCCCAGTTCCCAGCTTTCCTATCAAATGACTCCATCTGTCCCAAGACCAGTTTCCTTTTCTTTGCTCTGTTTTCTCTGAGGATCCCATGCTGAGTGGAGACAGAGCCAGGAATACTAACAGTTGGTGACCATCCAGGGACACCAGCCACTGTTGTTACCTTCAGTCTCACCAGCAAAAGCAATTAAAACAATATGCGTACAATAAAATATAAAAGCATATTTCACTTCTGGGAAAGGGAAAGTGGATTCAGGCATTAAAAGGAGAGCTTGGGTTGAAGCCGCCGGCAGCCGCAGGCTGTACTCCAAGAAAGAATGGAGCTAGAGAGCCAGGCACCAGCTCCCGTCTCTGGTAAGCGTAAGAGCTGGGTGGAGGGGATGACTGGGGAGGACCGAATGTGTCGGGAGACTTTGCATCCATTTTTAAAAACGGCTGGAATCACTATATCCTTAGCCCCCATTGGCTCACTCCATAAGTTACCCATTGGACCTCCCCAGACAGGGAGGTGGGGGTGACAGTGCCAATTTGCTAGACTCCAGCATACTCACTGTTTCTTGCATTTGCTCAAGGAACTTTTCTCTATCTTAAAAACCTGAGTGTGAAGATTTCTATTTTGACCTTGTGATGCCCAAGTCTCCTAGAAAAGTCTGAAAATAAATTATTTTGTGTCCCTAAGACTCCAGCAAATATTTCAGCAGGACTCAGCTTCATGCTTAGCCTAGCCCAGGAGAAACACATTCACAACCCTGCATTCAAAAAATATAGTCCTATTGGAGGCTCTGAGATACAGTCATGTACAAAAAGACAAAAAAAAAAAAAAAAAAAATCTTCTCTTCTAGATACTTGCTTTTTGGTGCAGGGGAGGGTAGTCAGAAAACTAAAAAAACAGACTGGGCATGGTAACTCATGCCTGTAATCCCAGTACTTTGGGAGGCCAAGGCTGGCAGATCGCTTGAGCCCAGGAGTTTGAGACCAGCCTAGCCAAAATGGTGAAACCCCATCTCTACTAAAAATACAAAAATTAGCTAAGCGGAGTGGTGCGCACCTAAAATCCCAGCTACACCTTAAGCTGATGCATGAGACTCACTTGAACTCGGGAGGCAGAGGTTGCAGTGAGCAGAGATCGTGCCACCGCACCCCAGCCTGGAGGACAGAGCAAGACTCCATCTCAAAAAAAATTAAAAAACATTGGAGTAATTAAAATTATAGATGTCAGATAGTGAGTGCGGTGGAAGAAAGACAATTGGAAAGGGTATATGATGTACTAGGAGTCGGTCGATTCGGGTCCAAGCAGCCTGCAGTGAGAAGATGCCACATGAACAAAGAAAGTCCTGAAAGACAACGTGAAGGAAGATGCAAATACCTAAAGATTCAGGATTACAGCAAAGCTTCCTGGGCATCTCACATTGTCCTACTCCGAGGCACGAGGAGCAAATGAAAATCAGAAGGGAGGAGAAGCAACGGAAACTGCATCACCCACTGTACTTCTTGCCATCTGGTGGGCCCTGGAAACCATCAGTGTATTTGGTTACTGTGTTTACACAGCCGGCAGGACACACACTGTTCACTCAGGGCTCCCCAGAGCTGTCGGAATGGTCTCAGCTTCCCGGGATTCCTGAGGCCCCCGCATCCGGGTGCTGGGGCTCGACAATTCCCCTGGGTTGTCCAAAGACAGGGGCCCTCCAGGACCACCCCAGGCAGGGGCCAGGTCCTTATCTAAGCCAAGTCCTGGGCCTGAGTGTCAAGTCAGGAAGGAAGACTTGGGAAGTTGCCTGAACTAAGAAGGGAGATAGCCTGGCCGAGCAGGCTGCTGGACTGAGGATAGCAAATGAATGAAGGATGTCACACTGACCGACACGTCTGACCCTTGCAAAAAGCTCATTTAATGTTGGTTACGATTAATAATAACCATTGGTAAAACTGTTCCACGTACATGAAGTTTGTACCTGTCTACCAAGTATGTTACATGCAGGTGTTGTTTTTTGTTTGCATGGAATCCTACTTTTGACTGATTTTTAGAGTGAAAAAACTGAAGATAAGAAAGACTCACTACCTCTCACAAGTTGGCCCAGTTAATAAGTGGCAGCCAGCTTTTGAACCCAAGCCCATCCAGTCCTAAAACTTAGGTTCTTGATCTCTGTGCTCCAGCCTCACCTACCTTTAAGAGAGAACATCGAGGGCCAGGCGTGGTGGCTCACGCCTGTAATACCATCACTTTGGGAGGCCAAGGTGGGCAGATCACTTGAGGTCAGGAGTTTGAGACCAGCCTGGCCAACATGGTAAAACTCCGTCTCTACTAAAAATACAAAAATTAGCCATGCATGGTGGCAGTCCCTGTAGTCCCAGCTATCCGGGAGGCTGAGACAGGAGAATCGCTTGAACCGGGGAGGCAGAGGTTACAGTGAGCTGAGATCATGTCACTGCACTCCAGCCTGGAAGACAGAACATCAAGGAAACGCTTTGTGTTCTTCTGAGCAAATCTACTCTCCTCTTTCTAATTTAGAACATCAGGAAGAAGACAGTTTGCATAATGAAAAGTCAAGGAAGGAGGTTATTGGTGCACTTAAGCCTCAACAACTTCTGGTCATTATTTTCAGGGAGGCTGCGTTTCTTTCAGCTGCTAAGGGCAGTACCTAGGAGGCTGTGAAGAGCAAACCGATGGTTACAAGTTTAGACACACATTGGGCCACAGCGGGAGGCACCCAGTAGGTCCTCAATCTTGTAAACACGGTTGCATTTGTCATCCCTCACCCTCATGATGTGATTTGCAGAGTGTCTGAGATCAAATATTTGTAGTACTTCTGGGATGTGTTTTTCATTTCAGTGGCATGGAAAGTTGTCCTAAGAAAGGCTGGAATGACCTGTGGCCTCTGGAGGAAAATAAGGAAACTGGAGTCCCGGGAGGTAAGAGTTCCTATCTGAAGCCATTCCCCGAGTTAGTGCAAGAGCCCGAAGCCAGGGAAACCCCAACTCTCTTTCAGCATCACGTGCCATTCAGCTAAATTCTCAGGGCCCAGGACAGCCTTCTGTCACCCATGGGCTAGTCATCAGGAAAGCAAATAAGGATCCACAGTTAGAAGAAGAAAAATGTTCCCGCCCACCCTAACGCATCCGCACCACCTGTCACCTGAAAACCCAAGACTCAGAACTGCCTCCGAGACACATCCAGCCAGAATCCAGAGAGACCTTTGAGACTGGGGCTGGGCCCACTCACCTCGCATGAGGAGGCAAAAGCAAACGCTTCTCCTCCCAGGGCTGACCAAGGCAGTGGGTGGACAAGCCTGGGCCAAGGCAAACAGGGACATGGCACCTGAAGGCACTATTGACAAACTGGGTGTGTTAATGGACCAAGCGGGGCTAGAATGGGAAGGATGGATTCTCCGAGGCCTCACAGAGAGTGCAGGAGAGAAAAGAACTTCCAAACTCTCTCCTTTGGCCTTGGCTACCTCTGGAGAGAGCCCAGGTGTTTCACCTCCCTTCCTCCCTGCTTCTCTGCCTTTGCTCCGAGAGCCGGGCCTTCCTGCAGGCTGGCTGTTTAACGAGGCAGGTTGAGAATTTTCAGCCTCTAACTCATGTGTTCTAATCCTATTAAATATGCACCGGCTTCAAAACTCAGCTTTTTAAAAACTTGCTTCCCCACCCCCAGCACCACCCCCCGTCCCCCCCACCTCGCCTCACTTAGTCCCACTTGCTCCATTCCAGCTTGAAAAGCCATTGCTCAGTTGTTGGCAGGGGTCCCACCAGCGTTTTTGCAAGGATTTGGGCTGTGATTCAGCTACCTGCAGCTGTTCCCCAGTTACCACCCACGTAAAGGAATTTCTGATATTAAAACGGGTGACAAACTTCCTCCCCCCTTCCCCCAACACATTAGTTTGATTGACATCCACAGCCCAAGTGGCCAAGTTCACCGTCACTTGGTTCTCCCTATTCACTTAATAATACATTTAATTTGACCCACCAACCACTCCTCCCCATGCTTTATACACACTGCCTTCTCACCCTGAAGGGTGTCTTCTGATAAGACCATCAAAATAGCATTTGGGGATATTTAAAAACAATCTACTGAATCTTTCTGGAATTAAATTTTGTTCTCCCTTTATCATCCAATTAAATCTTCCCACCACTGCAATAAATCCTCCTAATTCTGCTCCCCACCCCCACCTCCACCCCATGTGTAATGTCATCAAATGGGAGTGGGGAGAGGCAAGGAAAAGAGAGGGGGCTGAAGTTGAAGATCCAAGTTCAGATAGTTCCATGGAGCTTTTCAGAGCTCAGGCTGGAGGCCACCTGCTTCTCTCCAACTATGCAGAGATGCCAGGGTGTTCATGTTGACCAGATGGAATTGTCTCCAGCAGAGCATACTGAGCAAGTATCCACAAAGCTGAGCACAGGCCTGAGCTTCCCGGCTTCAGCTACTTTCTTTTGTGTGTGTGTTGGGGTTGGCACGGGGGGAAAAATGGGGTGGATGTGCAAACAGTGCAGATGGCCCTGCAAGTCAACTGCCCATCCTCCTTCTGGCAGAAGTCCCATCTCAGCCTGGGCTCACCAACTATATGATTCCTTTCAAAGGAGGACGCAATAGAAACCAATCTAACACCCACAAAAGCCTCAACAGTTAGCATTCAAGGTACCTACCTTAAGAGTGGACATTCGAAAGGAGGCTTTTGATCACTGACCAAGCTGGAGCCCCTGGATACCAGGCCCCGGGCTTTCTCTGAATTTCTCCCATTCAGTTTGGCAGACACTCTGCGGTGGAACAATAGCAATGGCCCCACCAGTACCATCACCCCCAAGGCCGTGTCCCCTTGCTTCTGGGCAGTAGCCAGTAATGTGATCCTTCAAGGCAGGGCCAAACCCCCTGTTGGGAATTCAGCCAATCTTGGGGCTCTTCAAGGAAGAAAAATTCCTTTCCCTGACCTCTGCAGGTGATCGGATTGAGGTCCCTGCAGCTTGAAATTTGATTTGATCTTTGATCTCTGCTTGCACAGCTGCAATGGTTATTATGCTCTATAAAGTGTCCCGGAGCCCTTCCTTGCTCACCTGCCTTCCATAGTGAATGCTTGGGGCCAGGTATTCCTGAGCAGGGGAAGAATATTACTTCTCTGTTTTTCTCATCCTGCACTCCCTTCGTTTCAGTCCTGCCTTCTCATTCCCCTCATTCCCAGGACTTAACCCCAAATTCCAAGACCGTGGACATTTTCAAGTCCTTCTAAATGAGAGCATGTGGTTTCATGAAGAAAAAAAAAAAAGTACTGTGTGTTAAGAGCCAACTATGTAACGAAGGTCATAGCCCCAGAATGCCGCATGTGTCTAGAGAAGTCTTGTAGAAGTGTGGTCCTCAAAGTAAGTTTTCCTGGGTTTAGTCCACTTCCCTGTCATGGTGAGATCATTCTGTGGCAGGGAGATATGTATAAGGAAGCAAGTTTAATACGGTTCATCACACCTATTTCTTTTTTATTAGCAGCAAGTGACATAATAATAGATACTTACTGAAAGTGAACTATATTTTGGATATCATGCTAATTACCTGCATGGATGCTTTTAAGCTTCCCAGACTCTAAGAAGAATGTACTATTATCTTACCTCATTTTAAAGATGAGGAAACTGAAATTTAGAGGGGTTAAGTAGCTGGTTTAAGATTACACAAGCAGTGAGCAAATAGAGTTGGGATTCCCTCACATGTCTGTCTGATCTTGAACTAGTTCTTAACCAAATTCACATTATCCCTCTTTGAGGTTATTTGTCTACACTGCAAAATTACACAAGCAGGTGAGCAGTGATGTCTTGTCTACATTGTTCACAGTCTGAGAAAATCATTTCAAGATTTATTGATTGGCTATCTTGATTTTAAACTGAAAAATAAGTCCCAAATGACATGCTTTCGCCTTTTATTTTTTTAATTCAAATTAAACTTTTAATGAACAGCTTTAAAGGACAATAAAAGGGTTAAACATATCATTTTAAGGAAACAGCCAAATAGATATGATTTGGAAATTTTCCTACTAACATTTCCTCCCTGGGCCCCCCTCCTCCTGACCTCACCTTTGGGCCTGGACTTGGTAAGGAGATTTCTCTGCAAGTCTGTCTAGAGAGTCAAACACTTCTCTGGTTACCGTGAGATTCAAGTCTGCTTAATTAAATGTTTTAGCTAGCATTTTTGCTTAAGTTTCCATGAAGGTATGAAAAAGCCATTGCAATTGTTTTAAAGCTCTGATAATACTATCTTTAGTTCCTTCAAGGAAGGGGACTACTCAGGCCCCTATCCCACCACCTTCACTGACGGCTTCATTTCCTTATACTTTAGCTCCTTTCTCTCTCTGATTTCGCCCATCACTGTCCATGTGGAAGAAGCACGAAGAGAAATTTGAGTTGCGCTGGGTCTCTCTGCCAACTGCATGAACCCTGAAAGTCCGTCCTCCCATTTATAAGTTGTTCCCAGAATCTAATCCCTCCCATCTTCCTTCATTTTCTCATTTTCTTTCTTTCTTTTTTTTTTTTTTTGTTGTTGTTGTTGTTGTTGTTGTTGTTGAGATGGAGTTTTACTCTTGTTGCCCAGGCTGGAGTGCAATGCCATGATCTTGGCTCACCACAACCTCCGCCTCCCGGGTTCAAGCGATTCTCATGCCTCAGTCTCCTGAGTGGCTGAGATTACAGGCATGCGCCACCACGCCCTGCTAATTTTGTATTTTTAGTAGAGATAGAGCTTCACCATGTTGGCTAGGCTCATCTTGAACTCCCGACCTCAGGCGATCCACCCGCCTTGGCCTCCCAAAGTGCTGGGATTAAAGGCGGGAGCCACTGCACTTGGCCTGTTTTATTTTCTTTATTGGGTGGAGGTTTGTCTTAAGTTTCCCCCACTTCTGATTAATAACCTCAATAGGACTTTGCTTACTAAAAAAAATAATAACTTACTAAAAAATAAAAATTAGTAACCGTAATAACTGCATTCTCGTAGCATCTAGCAACCTTCACAACAGAGTTGTGACAAAGAGCTGAATTACCAAATCTCAGTTTCTACAAAAAATGTGATCCTTAAGAAGAAGGCAGTAGTGGTCTTTCCACTCAAAAGCATTATCTCAACTTTTGGCTATAGACATTTTCAAAATTGCAGAAAAAAACTGAAAGAATAGTATAGGAACCATCTGTACAGTTAGCCCCTAGTAATTATTAATTTTTTTGTCATATTTTATTTATCATCATATGTGCGCGTGTGATTTTGCATTGCTGTGCTGTGTTGTGTTGTGTTGTGTTGTGTTGTGTTGTGTTGTATTCCTGAACCATGTGATGATAAGTTGCAGACTGCAGGACACTTCGCCTCTCGAATATCCAGAATATCAATGATCCCCTGGGTAACCACTTACAACCGATGTCCCTAAGAAAGTCACAATGGTTGCCATCATCATCTGCTACCTAGCCCACATTAAAAGCCCCTAGTTGTATTAAAAATGTCTTTTAGAGCTGTTTGTTTTCATTTTTGTTTCTGTTTTTTTCCTCTGAACTGGAAGTAAGACAACAACTATCCTGGTATGCCCAGATATGTCCCAGTGTTAGCCCTGAAAGCCTGAGAAACATCTCCCCTAAGTCTGTCCTAGGCAAACTGGGGTGACCCAGCAACCTCACCAGGAATCAATCAAGTTTCATTGCACGTGTTTACTAAAACTGTTTAGTATTTAGTCTCTTTTAATTGATGCAAAACCAGCTCTTACCCAGAAAACTCAAGTTTCTAAGTTTTATATCTGAAGATGTCTCCCAATACACACAATGAGATTTGTTATGGGTGATGGTGGGGGTGTCCACAGAGAACCAGCACAAACATCCATCACCTACTCACCAACAGATCTAGCCTTATAAGTGGAAACCTCTGCAAATGAAAACACTTTATTGTCACCACAATAGCGGTGTATCCCTTTGGTTTTGCTTTGTTTTCTAATGGTCTGATTTTTGTGTGTGTGTTCAGAAGTTGTTCACAGGTGAGCTGATAAATAGAATCGTCAGCACAGGCAACACACAAAGCCATGAAAGATGGGTTATCTGACTGCTCCTGCACTCAGATAATGATGATATTAACTCATATCTAGATAACACTCAGATAATGTTAACTCATCTTTAACAGTCTTCTTATGAGACTGTGTCAAGATGCAAAAGGTGGCTATCGGGGAGCCTGCCCCTCCCTTACATCACACCTGTGGCCAATTCATCCATGCTGGTACTGTCTGCAAAGCCCTACATAAAAGAATGTGAGAGGCAAATGAGACCCATGGTTCAAGGCCCAGCTCTGCATTTAAACTGAACAGTGCAGACTTGGTCAAACCATGTCTCTTCTGCAGGCCTTAGTTTCTTCACCTGCAATGCCAGGAGCTGCTACGGCCTGAAAGACAAGGCTGCTTTCTTCTTCATTGGCCTCATTTCAGGCACTCCCAGGAAAGAACACCTGGGGTTCCGAACCCTCCCTCAGATTAGAACGACAATTCTCCCACTCTGCCTCCAGGAAGTCACGTCTTTGACACAAGCATGGTAATCCATGGGAGGTCAGGACACTGGCAATGAACAGGCTTTGAGGGTGCCATGCCCTGTTCCTGCCCCAGGAGAGTGCAAAGGATGCACATGGTCCCTAACCCTCAAGAGTAGCCCCTTCCATTCCCTCCCATGAACTGCAATGACTCACTTCACTTCATCCAATGTCTTTATGAAATCACGGAAAAAGGTCAGAAGAAGGGTTAAGATGCTGGCTGTAAACTAACTGGCCTCTAAGCTCCAGACTTACATTAGTTGCCTTCTCAGTACCTTCAACTGGATGTCCCAGAGGCATCTCAACCTTCAGATGTCTTCAACACAACCCTTCATTCCCTTCAAACCACTCCTCCCAGCCTTCTACAAAGAACAGAGCAGCACTGCTGTTCACCTGGTCACACAAGACAAAAACCTAGGAGTCATTCTTGATTCTTCTATTTTTGCTACACACAAATCCAGTCCATCAGCTGGTCAGGTGAGTGTGACCTTCAAAAGACAGTTGCATTTGTCCCCTTCAATCTTCCCCATTGTCCCTTTAATTAATACTGACACTACCTTTTGCCCAAACGACTACAACAATCTTCTGTATTTCCAGCTTATTCTGTTGTTCTCCTGTCTCATCACTGCTCAGCCACCACCAGGTGACCTGTTATAAGCTGTAATCTAAACAGATCACTTCCTTATTCAGAATCCACCAAGATTTCCCACCACATTTATGATCAATTCTAAACACCTTCCATTGGCCCATCCTCTTCCCCTGTTTGCCTTGACAGGCTCACCTCATTCCACATCTCCTTCACTGACTTCACACCAGCCCCTCAAACCTGTTCATCAGATCCTTTCCTCCTGCTGCCCTTGGCACCGGGGCTGCACTTCATTGTAGTGCCACCTTCACCACCTTCCTGTCACTCTACACCCTCTATCACTGCCCCACTTCACGACACTCCATCCTCCCACCTCACACAAACACACGTCTCATAGACTAGCATAGGGTCTGCAGGATGAGCCCGTGAGAACAGGCACTTTGGTCTGTTCTGTTTATGAATGACTCTCCAGTATCCAGAACCCTCCTCTCTCAAGGAGGTGCTCAATAAATATTTATGGAATTCATTGACTAATGGAACATCATTATTCTAATGAAAGCAAACAAAGATGCAGGTGATAAGCAAAAATGCCTTCTGCCCTTTGCCTTTCCTGTGGCTGCTTTTAATTCACTTAAAAAATAGATGTAACTGTTATAAAGACATCAAACCAGGCCATAATGCATTTCTGTCATAATAAAATGTCACCCTGTTTATTTTATCCTAGCCGGTATCACGGTCTGTAATTATCTTGTTCTTTTATGTGTCACTACCTCTTTTTGTCTTTCTTCTCCATTGGGATGGAAACTCATGAGTGCAAGAACCTTCTCCTACTTGCTCAGTGTATCCTAGTGCCAAGTGCATGGACTGGCCCATAGTAGGTGTTCAATATGCATTTGTTGAATGAATAATTAAATGAGAGACTAACCAGAATGGAGATCTCATGAAAGACACCATGAGCTCGTCAAGGGCAATAACTTTAATGTCTTTTCTTCTTTGCAACTCACTAGAAACCTAACATAATACTTTGTGCTTAGTAGGAGTTCAGAAAGCTTATTTATTGAGTTGAATTTCACTGTACTAGCAAAGTTTCAGAGACTGCATGTCCTAATTAGGAAAGTTTTCTGGAGAGGATAAAGGAATGGAGAAGGAGTCTGTCAGGAGACTCAGGTTCCCAGCTTGGCAGGATATAGACAAAGGACTCAGTGGGCTCATTTGCATTTTGTTTTGCATAAATATGCAAGCTGAGTGGCTGAGCTGGAGTCTCCAAGGATGTCAAATGGCAACGGGCTGTGTTTTCAAATAGGATATTCAGGATCTTACAAACACAGGGTTCCCACCCAAAAGAAGGATCTTCAATTGTCCTGGTGATGGGGAGACACACTGATCTCTTAGCTGAGCAAATGTCCCTCAACTGGACCCTCCCTATCCCCTGGTCACTGCCAGCCACTTCCCCATGCTCACCCCCTACAGGGATCTTGGCAAGCCTGGCTAAGGTGTGGTCACTTCCAACAGGCCCCTGTTGACAGAGCTTAAAACAAACCTCCCTGTTCACACACAGGCCCTGGTGCATGGAAGAGCCAAGTTGGGAGACTGACTCTCTACTGGCGGAGGCTACCAGTGCAGAAACCTTTCGAAAACAGAAAACAGTACTTAAAACAAAACAAAACAAAACAAAACCTCATCCTTTCTGAGGCCAACACTGAGTGCTGGGAAGGCTCAGAAAGACCATGGGATTTTTTCCCCCCAGTTAATCCAGTTGCCCTGATTTGCATGGGATTTGCATAAACAGCACGTTGTATTCAAGCGGCCCTTGCTTCAAGGGCCAAGATTAAGGTTGGGGATTTGTCACCCCCAGGGTAGTTTTGTTCCCCCTCGGCTGTTTAGCAGCTCGGGACCCCTAAAATCGCTCTTTATACATTGGCCGAGGCGAAAAGCACACAAGCTATGGTGGAGAACCAGCGCAGGCTAGGGGAGGCCGGTGTAGAGCTGGGAGCCCTCTCCCAAGAGGGAAGGTTGGACAATAAGAATTGTAAGGTTGCTCCCTGTTCTGGAATTCTATAAATCTCTGCAGGGTGCCAGGCACCGAAGGACTGGCCTCAGCAAACCCTGAGATGGTACTGGAAACAAGATGGACTGCAGCCAAATTCAGGTTGTGCTAATATTTGTTGAAAGTTTTTCTGTGACAGTGACTGTCACATGGGGAAAGGGAAGAGAGAGACTAGATTGGCCAGGAGAAGGGATGGGCAAAAGGAATGTGGAATTCTTCCGTCAGCCCCACCACCATCCCCCTGCTAGCCAGGGAGCAGGGATGGGCCGGTTAAAAGCCCTACACTTACAAACCTCTCTCAACGTCCAGCCCAGATGTACCTCC